AAGGTCATCTATAGCAGCATTTTTAAATGACACAAAATACTTACCTATATATATATATATATATATGCTAAAATATAAATGAAGCAACAATAAAAATGTTGCTTATTATATAGTGCTAAAAGAACCTTTATCACTAACTACTAATTTCATCATGCAAATTTGAATTCAATGCATGTTGTATATTTAATAAAAGAAAAAAATAATTACAAATTTTAACCAAATAAATCATTTTTAAATTAAACTAGTTCATTATTAAATGTTCATATATACAAATGTCACTTTGAAGTCAAATCCAATAGTAGAGATTTTCAAAACCAACAAAAATTGTACTTCAAAACACAATACATTTAAGTAAATTGTCTTGCTCTATGCTTTTTAAAATTCTCCATCATAGCCAAAAGTATCTTCAATATGCTCCTTGTCAACAATTTCCTGAAAAAGCAATTATATCATATTAAAAAAATTAGTCAATTAACATAAAACTGGCTATTAAAGAAGATGTTATAAATTAATCATTATATATGTAGTGTTATGGATACCCTATTGATTAAGTGTTATGCAATCAGATATTGAATAAGGAAGTGTCATGCAAACCATGTTGATAAAAATAAGTGTTATGAGCTAATAGTTGTGTAAACATTGCTGCATTGGTTTGGTAGAGAACCTACATCCATTGGAGAAGATTATTTGAAAGAGTTTCCATCACCAATATGTTTGAAGTATAAGATAAATCTATGAGCTAATAGTTGTGTAAACATTGCTGCATTGATTGGAAAAGTAAAAGCAGCATGGTACCTAAGACAACCTAAAGTTCACCCCAAAATCAAGTAGAAGCTATTCAAAGAAAAATCCTAGCAAAATTTTCATAGAGAATCTGTCCATGAGAATCTCCAAAGTGGGTCAAAAAAATCACCCGCATAAGACACATACAGGTTGTGGGCCCAATCTGTCTATCAACTTCAGACTCTCAAGGCTAAGCAACTCATGTTTATCAAAGACAAAAACTAGAAAACTCAAAGCTATAACTTGATAGAGAGATCATTATTTTTAGGTAAATCCATGGGAGAGAGAGTTCTGGTATGAACTGAGAAAATGGGTCCTAACCCACCTTGGGAGAAAATGGTGGAATATGGATGTAATGATGGATATGGCTAGATCTACAGCCTGTCATGTGGGACAATGTGATTGGAGACCAACTTCAAGCTTCTTTCCACTTATCATATTTTTAGAACTCCAAACTTTACTCCCGGTAGAGGGGCAGCCACCAGAAATTTTATTAATAATCAAAGAAACAAGAGGCCTGATCCACTTATCATCTCTCCATCATCAAGAGATGGAATTCTGTTTGGGATAAGCTTAGGGAGAGGAAAAACTGGAGGTAATCCACATATATTTTTGTTCAGACCTGTTGAGTGATTTTGGGTTTTCTCCTCTTTCTTTCTCTCTAACTTCCTCTAGAAGTTTTTTGATTCTAGCATATAAAGACATTATTGACCAAGGAAAACATCAAATTAAATCAACAAGGGTTTGTTATTGATCCATGTACGTTCTTTCATTAATTCTTCCAATACCAAGAATTTGCTATTTCTATAGTTTTTACAACTCTGTGCCAAATATTCTAAAAATACCTTCATTTAGGTAACTGCTGTAAGTTTTGATTACTTCTTGTTCTACCAAATTTCACTCTAAAACTCTACCTAGAACCCTAATTTTTAGAATTTAGGTTTTCTTTGGGAAGCATATTTTGTGTCCTTGTGTGCATGGCCTATACCTAGGACCTTGTTGAACTTAGTTTCTCCTAAAAATCTCCACTCTATGCCTTCATCCAAAATTTCATTAGTTCCAATAGTATACTTATTTTGCTCACTTAGAACCCTTTCATAACTTCAGGACAAATCTTTATTCTTTCAATAAGCCCAAAGAGCCTTCCTAACCCAAATTTTTCTACCTATTAGCTTGAATTGATGCCCAAGTCCTGTTAAACCTTTTAACCAGCTCTACAAAATCCACCTCGAGTTGAATCTTTCATACATCAATTGGAATCATAGTAGTTAATCTTGCATCAATTAGTTGTAAAAACCATATTCAATTATTAACTAAGAACTGCCATCCATGTTTGGCTATTAGTCCAATTACAACCTTTGATATTTTGACTACATAGGTTTCTTCATTGTCTTGCTAATTTGGAAATTGTTTTGTCAACCATTGTTAAATTGTAATTGAGCTAGGGAATTTAAGTTCTTTTCAGCTTAAGGGTTCAAGGAATTCCGGACTGAAGTTAGTGGGATAAGATGGTTTTCTGTCTATACTATATGTATGTTGAACTAGCTAAATCCACCAGAAGCAATTATTGTAACAATGTAAAGTTTCCAATCCACATATCATAGCTTGCATTCATATGAAGGGATAAGAAGAACATATTTTATCACTGAATGAAATTTAGCTAATAAGCAGAAACTTATAAATCATTATTTAAAAAGGATTTGAATAAATGTCAACTCTACCTCTAATGTTGCCTTCGAGACATTGGTTCAATGCTGTGGTGAAGAGATCGAATCAAGTGTTGACAAGGGTTGACGTTGATGTCACCGCTTAGTGCTATATGGTGGATTCATAGTCCATGCCCAAACAACCTGCCATAAATGAAGATTATGTGAAGAACAAATTTATCCAGTCATACAGAACATTATAAATTAGTAAATAAGCTTTTAAATAGATAACCATACAAACCTCAAAGATGAGCTAGAGATTTCTGTAATTAAATTAGATACAAACTAGAAAACCTAAAATATCCAAAAAATTGCCAATTTGCCTAAATTGGAACACATTTCGTCAAAATGTCAATCTCTTCCTGTCAGTCATATCTAAGCATCCAGACATGAATAAAATTCTAGCATCCTAGAAGTTGTGAAGTAAGGAACCAGTACAACAATACAAATTTTAATAAAAAACAAAATAAACTCACACAGCACTTAACAAATTATCCACTAGGATTAGAGTCCCCTATTCCAAATCAGACCACGGGATCCATTCCCTAGCAAAAGCATTAGTTTTTTGAAAGATTTCACCATACTTTCATTGTTTCTGTTATCTTCTCAATATCTCAGCATGAAGCATCCAATAAATGTGATATTATTGTTGTTTTTGCATTATCAACATATTCACCAAAATCATATTTGCCTAAATTTTGAGTAACATGAATCTTATTGTGTCATGAATAGAATTAGAAATTTATCTTAAAACAGAATTATAAACTTTGGAAGAGGGAAAACATGAGAATTTTACTTGAACCTTCCTTAGTTCTCAAACCAAAAGTATCTATATAGATTCCAAAACCCAACTTCTACTCAAGCCCATGGCTAGAGAGTTTTGCTCCACACTATCTTTTGGGGAATAAGAGGAATTGGAAAGGGAATACTAGATACTCAAAAACAAGCAAAATTCAGTTCCAACGGTGATAGATCTTATCATAATTTGAATGGTTTGGTCCAGAAATTAAGGATATTCAAATGTATTATGATGGACATGATGAACATATAAGATTATAAATCAAATGGGAGTACGATCAAACTCAATTTTAACATCTGTCCACTGGGGAACCTAGTCATTTTTGCAAAGTAGGTAAAGATGGAATGAAATATTATAACCATTCTTATTCTATGCCTGTTGGTTTGGATGATCCACTTATGGCAATAATTGGAATGACACTGATTGTAATAATAGTCAAGGAAGTGTTGGAGATATAGTAAAGAGGTTAAGAAATAAAAAGGGAAACTACAATGACACACTATTCCAGCAGTAGTAGACAATAACTTGGACAATATGGACAAGAAGAAACAGAACTTTTGAAGTTAAAACATACTACTCCAGAGGAAGTAGCCTTGAAGAATGATTATGGAACAATGACATCATGGACTATGGAAAATAAGGAGTTTAGGAATACTCATCATTTTGTGCTATTAATGATTGAGTTGGAATGATTTGGTAATCATTGGCTAAATAACATTATAGTGGTTCCATTCTATCTTTAATAAAATACCTTATCTATTTATTGGGAAAATTTAAAAAAAAAGTTTGCCTAAAAGCAGTCTTTTACTAGACTATTCAATCCTCATGTGATAATTTGGTCTCATGGAACTTACTTTAAGTACGCAATATTAAAAAGCTTTTGCTTCGAGAAACTCCCAGTAGAGATCTTCTCTGTCAATCCCTAAAACATATACAACCGCTAAGAAAATTAATAAGTATTTTCATTTTTCACTGATAAAAAATACTTTCGTCCTATTATGGAATTGCTATTACCACTCTCCTTTTTGTTTGAAATTGGCTCCCCTTTAATTTTGTTGAATATCTTGGACCAAAATAACCTAAAAAATTCATGTTCCATGATCTTTTTGTATTAATACCCGAAAATATCCAATTAAAAAAACTATTAGAATGAAGGACATATCAATGGAATAGTAAAATCTTAGATTAACAAATGAGCACAAGTTTAGGTCTTAGACCAGCCACTTCAATAACAATCAAACTTGCCTTATACATAAAATAGAGTACATATATTAATGTCAAATTCCCCTATTGGCTGACCTTTGGGTCCATTGAGCTAAACAAACTATGGAGGAATTAATCACTGAAAGGTATGAATCAATGCTAATGGCTGGGATGTAAAGGTATCATTTGGGTGTGGAGTGTGGAAAGGTATTCATAAACAATGGTTTAAAATTTAATTCAATGGTTTACAAGTTGAGAAGTAGATTTGGTTCCAGTTGAATTTTAATTTGGAGATTCTAGTGGAAGCAAGATATGGAAAATTGGTTTGTTTTGGACACTTCAACTTGTGAAGTCTTGAACTCAAGCATTCTTGATTAAAATATTCAGGGGGCATATGGAAATACAAGGTATTATAACCTCAAGATGTAACATATTTCAATAAGACACATTATCAAACATTTCAACCATTATAAGACAATAAACTACTTGATGGCTTATTCAATAAAAGATAAAATAATAAATTATTCAACTCATCCATTTAAGCCATTATCAAACAACACCTTTGTAGGATCCTAGGTCCAACTCCAATAGGAGAGAAGAGAGAATTGAATTGAAATGGATGCAGGGAAACTTAGTACAAATATCTAAACTATAAAATTAGAAAGAAATAATAAACCATAGACTACTTGAGAAGTAAAATGAAGAAACCTAGAAGAGAAGAAATAGCTAGATGAAGGAGACTGCATCTACCTATGAATATAGTTATAAATAAATGGTTGTGATTATTCCCCTATCTATCAATAGCTTGTTGTTCACCCATGCTTGTAATTGGTATAATACTTAGTGATCCAAACAAAAACATAGACTGTGATGATTCCAACCAAGCCCCACAAGTCAAAGTTCAGCTATGCAAAGGTACCTATTCAATATAAAGTAGCCAACGAATAGACTGCAAAGTGAAGAAAAACACCCAAGAGAAAATCAGATAATATCAAGCAAATACAGGTAAAGATTTTACATGCTTAACATTAAGTTAAATTTTTTGTCTTCAAACAAATCCATTCATATACATAAAAATTAAGTGAAGAACAGAAGCACTTGTATAACACCAACTGCATGAATATAGTTATAAATCAATGGCAGTAGATGAGAGATTACCACTCCAAAAAAACAACCAAAAATATTGTGACTGAATGGCTCTTCCGAAGAATTGTCATAGGATCCTCTGTAGGAGACTTCACTTCAGATTCACGYGTACTCCTGATTGAGAGTATTCCAGCCGATGATACCACCAGATAAAAAGAGTGAACAACAAGAGGAAACAAGATAAATCCAGATGGATCTGCAAGGGGAAAACATTACCACCAACTAAAATAGAGATAAAGCAGAAAGATATTTGTGAAGCAAGGGGCACTTGGAAATTAATTTTTCTGGGCTGTTTTGTCATATGATAAATAGGGGGAGATGTACTCTACGCTCTCCATTGTTTGTTTTATCCATTGTACATTCTGTTTATAATTAATGAATGAATGATAATTGGTGCTTATCTAGAAAAAAAAAACATTCTAATAAAATAGTTGCTTTATTAAAAACAAATAGATACTTTTTTGATAAGTGTATATTATCTTTATTAGTAAATAGCATGTAGATTTCATTCATAACATAACCATACTACCCAAAAAATCTGGGTTTCATTCATAATGGTAAGAAGTCCAAAGGCAGTGGAAACCTGTGAGATAAGCATACCTCAAATTTGTTTCGTGATAAATGCATGAACGAAATAAATTAAAAACGAGAAAATTTGTTTCCAAGACGAGATAAACATACCTCAAATTAGCAAAATTGGTGATTTAAGAAGGAGATCAAGAGTGCCTCAATTGCAAAAGTGGAGGTTCTTCCAAGATCTAGTAGAGCTGTGACAATTTTTTTTTCTCTGACATCAAAGGAATGTAATTTTTGCTCTTCTCTAATATGATTCCGACATCTAGGTTGATAGTGCCTCTCAAAAAATCCTAGCGTCAATTGCATGCAGTTTTCTCTTCTCTACTCTGTGTGTTTGTTGTTAAGGTTTAGGTCTTTGGAAGGTTAGGGACTTCAGTGATTCAAGTTGAGCACCAAACAAAGTGAAAAAGAAAATTGTAGGTGATTTTCTCTTCACTACTCTATGCTTTTATTGTTAAGGTTCAAGTATTCTGAACGTTAGGGACTTCCCCTTGGTTTCTGGTTTCTATGGATAAATAGGCAAATTGCTTGTACTTTCGAACCTAGGGCGCTTGACAAAAGGGTTCATGGAAAACAAATCTTCACTTTGTCCAATAGTTCTATGGGTTCCCAAAACATTCTGATGATAGAGAGCTTCAGTTAGCCGCTTCACACCAACAACAATTGGGTCAACAACAGCCCCGACATCAACACCATGCCACGTTGCATGGGAAAACAAAGGAGGTGTCGTTGCGGCTGTACCGATTCCACCGTAAGTCCTACTGGTAGAGAAGCCTCCAACCCCGCCAATTCCACCAGGATACAAAACTCACAAGCAATGTCCTCTCCTCTCTAACTCCCAATTGGGTGTCTCACAAAATGGCAGAACCCTATAGAACTTTTAAAAGAGACCGTAGTCTAACCTGGGATGCGATTAAAAGCATACAAAAATATCAAAACCAGAAAACCCAAATCCAAAATGCACTAATATCTCTTCAATAGCGGTGTTGAAGAAAAACAAAGTGATACCCAAAGAAAAAACAGAGAGAACAAAGATAAAACAAACCTCTATGAAAATACCAAAAATATTTATAGTGAAAAAAAGACAAACAAAAAACATACCAAGCAAATGCGCGGCTCTAGTTCCTCCAACGAAATAGGTTTTGAATAACACTTCGATAGCGGTCTTCTGGAATTGTTTGAACAAGAACACCAAATGCGACAGACGGATTCGATTTTGAGAGAAGACTAACAGTTGAATGGGCAATGTCTTCGAATGAGAATGCTGTCTAGAGTGTGGTGGGCGCACGACTTCGACAAGAAGAGGAATAGTTCTTCCTTTATTCGAACGAAAATGTGTAGGTAGAATAAGAATGCGCGCGGGAGGAAGAAAGTAGAAACTTGCAATCCCGCCACTTTTCTTTTCTTATATTTGCATCTCCACCATTGATTTGAATTGAAATCAATGGTTCAAATAAAAGCATACCTCTTAAGTGTCCAAAGCCATGTTAGTGGCGCTTTAAAAATGTTTTAATAGCAATTTAATAAAAGCCACTTAAAACAACTATATAGCGGCATTTCAAATATGCTTTTTAAGGCAATTCAATATCTGCCACTAAAACTAACATTTAGTGGCGCCACAGTAGAAAACGCCTCTAAATAATGATTTTCTTGTAATGTATATTTCAAACTATAAGATATGTGGTGAAAATATTTCAATTCGTATTAGAAGTTTTACATCACAAATTATCTATAAGAGGGTTAGAAACAAAGAGGCATAACAGAAATGCAACAACTTATGTTAGCGGCCTCTCAAATGGTAGTATGAATTTGAGGTCAAATTCAAGGATGATGATGTAGTGCGGGATTTGGGTTAATTGAGTAACCACTTACTAAGTTGATTTTCGGGGACCCATCTTAATTTGTATTTACTAAGTTAGCGTTATCGCAAAATTTCTATATTAATTCGTATTTACCAAGTTAACATCATAGTATGATTTTCGAATTTGTCTTCAATTAGGACTTTCTTTTCAAGGAAATTTAGTAGGATTCTAATAAAAAGTGTTCAAGTAAATTAGGAAACTTTCTTGTATTAGCCATAAAGATGTATGGAAGTCTATGAAAAGAGTAGTTAAGACAATTTTTATTAATTTTCTCTTAATTATTCGGTGAAGAATTATTCTTCATGTTCTTTTCGGCTTTAGTTATTTTCTTTAAAGCCTCTTTAAAGAGGTATTTAATGTGCTTCTAAATGTAGTTGTTGTGGCATTCACATTGTTGAAATTTTTCACAGTGCCTTTACAAATGGAGTTATGGCAAAGAAGCTATGGAACTATTATGACAACCTATTTAATGTTCCTATTTTCAAACTCAACATGTGGTTAATAGTATCTATGTGTGGTAGAACCTAACTATTAGAGATTCTCAAGTTAATCATCTCTACAAAATCATTCCTTCTCTCTTGCTTTGGATGATATTGGAAGAGAGATGTAAGCGTCAATTTAAAGTAAAAGGTGTATCATCTTCAACTCTCAGAAGAAAAATTAATAGGTTGTTGGTGGAATTAAGTTTGAATTATGCATATGAGAATTCTTTTATCCTTGAATTTTTAAATATTCCCATCAAATAAATTAAGAGAACAACCATTTGCTAGGTTTACTAGCAAGTAGCAATTTCCTTTCAAGTTGAATGTGAATGGGGCAAGTCAAGGAAACTTGGGTGAGAACGGAGGAAGTGGTATTATGAGAAACAACTTTGGAGCATTATATATGTTTTGGCTTTCATAGCTATCATGGTAACAACTCTTCCATCCTTGCTTAATTTTTAGTTCATAGGGATAGCATTACACTTTGCCTCAATTAGGGAATATTGGAGGTTGAAATTGGAAGTGGAAATAAATGTTTAGTTGATATCTATCTTGGTAAGTTCATAGTTCCTTGGAAAATTATTTATACCTTGCATGAAATTAAAAGAGTGAACTCCACTATACAAATAAGATTCTCTCATGTTCTTATAGAGGGAAACCGGTGCGTGGACTTGGCCAATAGAGCTATTAATTTAGAAAAAAATTCTTTTATACAAACTCAATGCAAAATATTCCACATGATCTTGTGAAGATGCTTAAAGAAGACTACCAAAGGCTTCTTGTGCTTCGTATAAGGTAATGGTCTTTTGCTTTTAGTTTGATAATGATGTATTGTTTTTCTTTTTATGGCTTTTTGGATTGGGTAGAGATGGTGAGAATGTATTTCGGTTTTGGGGCATGGGGGGCTATGTCCTGTATTGTTATCTTTCTTCCTTTTGATAATGGTTAGCTAATAAAATTTAAGGTGGCATCCTCTCAACCAAGAGAAAACTTAGGGGTGTAAATATATGTATATCAGCATCCCAGAGATTGCGATGAGGATCATGATCATGAAAGGTAACCACGATGGAATCTATGATGAACATTATATCCATCGCCAAGGATAATACAAAGTGTAATCATAGGACCCTGTGATGACCTAAAATTGCACAAGAACTACGACGGTGCTCGCGACATCATCACAGAAGAAAGACCATGACTACCAGCAAAAGCCCATACAGTCCTAACAGCACGCCACATGGGTAAAGACGATGGCATCCTAATTACGAGTAACATGGAATCCTCCCTCCAACACCTGATAGTGAGTAAGCCTAAAGGGATGTAGCCATGCACGTGCCCACGTAAGAGTTTTAAGAGACAAGAAGCCCTAATCTCAAGGGATTCTCATTGGACACGTGGCAAAACCCATAAGGAATTTACTCATCAGGTATCCAATAAATCATAACCACCTTTTTGAGATAGGAAAGTTTTGTTTTGTCATTTCCTTGTCTCCCATTATAGCCCCACCTATTCATTTATAAAGGGGGGAGGCCCAAAGGCCTCCACATACTTGCATCCCTTTCACCAGAACCTCTTTTTCTTCTCCTCATACACTCCTGGTCATCCTCTGTCCTTTAGGGAGACCAGCTTCTCTTACCTTACCACCCTGCCTACAAGGGTTCTTAAAAAAACATGATTATCCAATGAGTTCAAAAGCTATAAGATTCCAATTATGATGCATTTCAAATATTTTTTGCAAGTTGAGTCAAAATTTCAACCAATGAGATGGTATTTTTAATTTTCATTGGTCACATTTCACATGGTGTACTTTTATGAGTGGTTCAAGTTTCTTTTGTGATGAAGTTCATGCACCATAGATTTTGTCTAAAAAATATTAATTACTTTCTATGTATTGATAGTTTGATACCAATCTTTCTAAATTGCACATACCTTTATGAAAATGCTAAACCATTTCTAGAAGTTCTAATTTATAAATGGACAAAATGAAAACATAATGTTTTATATAAATTAGTGTAAGGGAACTTACTTTGTATGCATGCAAATAAGTATTAACCATATATGATATAATATTTGAATTTATCTTTTATGATTTGCATAGAATTTAAAGCAAGTATTCGCTTTGTATAGTATAAATATTGAAAAAAATATATATTTGTTGCAAGTAAAAGGGGCAATAGAATAGTAGAATGGGCGGGCTGGGATTAATTTGTTGTAGCCAACCCCATATAGTTGGAACAAATGTTTTAAAATTTGATCTAGAACTGACCGCTTTGGCCACTAATTTTCAAGTTGACAATTCGATTATTTGGTCCAAATGTATAACCAATTGCAATTTAAAAATATTTAGTAATTAATAATTAAAATTAAATGACCAAAAAAATTATCCAGGCCGATGGATAAATAGGCTACTAAACAAGTCAATGGTTTTGTGTAAAGGAATGACTCAAGGGTAAAATGGAACTAATTGCCTAATGGTATTAGGGTTGAACGACCCGACCATTCAGGTCAATGGTTGTTTAAAATACAATGATGATGACGAAAGATATTACAAAGCAACGCAGATGGTAGATTTTGTGCCTATTCGTTTCCTTACAACTCATTACTATATTCGATAGAATTTACTAGTATCGAATTTTTTATTTGAATTAGTTTTTTGTTGATAAATCTTATGTTTGTTCCTTACAGAAAATAAGATTTTATTTCTATTTCTAATTTCGATTTTTTTTTATTTCCATTCAGATAAGAATTTTCATAAACTGGGCTATTTTTATAGCATGCATCTTTAAAGCGAAAGTGGAATTCATCATTTATTTTTTCCTTTCTATTCATTTGGATCTCTTCTAAAAAAAGAGAGGAAGCAGAACCAAGTGAAGATTATACGGATCAACCCATTCTTCTTGCGCCAAAGATCTTATTATTTCTGAAGGAACTGGAATTACATCTCTTTTCCATTTCATTCAAGAGTTCTTATGTGTTTCCACGCCCCCTTGAGACCTCGAAAAATGGACAAATTCCTTTTCTTAGGAACACATACAAGATTCGTCACTACATAAAAGAATGATAGGATAATGGTAACCCCACCATTAACTACTTCATTTATGAATTTMATAGTAATAGAAATACATGTCCTACCGAGACAGAATTTATAACTTGCTATCCTCTTGAAGGAATTTGGAGTGATTAATGAACAAAATATTGCAGAATCAAAAGTAACTCTAATCTATGGTCAGATGAATGAACCACCAGGAGCCCGTATGAGAGTTGGTTTGACTGCCCTAACCATGGCGGAGTATTTCTGGGATCTTAATGAACAAGACAGACGTACTTCTATTTATCGACAATATCTTCCGTTTCGTCCAAGCGGGATCGGAAGTATCTGCCCTATTAGGCAGAATGCCTTCTGCCGTGGGTTATCAACCTACCCTTAGTACAGAAATGGGTTCTTTGCAAGAAAGAATTACTTTGACCAAAGAGGGGTCCATACCTTCTATTCAAACAATTTATGTACCTATGGACGATTTGACTGACCTTGCTCCTGCCACGACATTTGCAAATTTATATGCTAACTACCGTACTCTCTAATATCACATATACACATGTTTCTTCCTAACTTAAACTAAGCATTCGTATCTTATATTCAATCAGATTCTAGAATAATTCTTCAAAACACCCAAAAGAGTTGGCTTATAACCATTACATTACCTGTTGATTACATGATGGACTCCCCTGAAAAACATTGGCACACGTGTAAACGAGGTGCTCTACCAACTGAGCTATAGCCCTTGTGCTTGTGATAGATATTTTATCATGTAGATAATTTCTTGTCAAGATGAATATTTCATGATCCGGCATAATAGCTCTCGGATCTCTTTCCTACTAAGGATTGGTATTGCTTAGAAGTAATRTTCCATCTATAATCCATCGATGTGATGGATCCCATTTGTTTCTCTTTATGATGATAAACGATCTACTTAACTCAGTGGTTAGAGTAAAATGAATGTATAAACCAATGCTTCCATAGATTCGATTGTGGTTTACAATTATAGTTTCCACACATGTTCATTTGGGATCATCTCCCAGATAAAGAAAGGGTAAGAGTCAAAGAAAGGGCAATGATTCAAATCAAGATTTTTCTGGTACCCTATCTTATGTCAAATGAGAAAAAGAAAATTAAAATAAAGGTGAAAGATACCAGAGCAATGTTGTATCAGACTAYTTGTCTCTTTGTAGTCGGATCTCCACTTAACTCCTATCTCTTAAGAGGAATTTTTTAACTTAAAGAGAAAAATGGGTTATTCATTTCCTCTTATCTCTTATATCTTAAAGTACAATCATACAACTTTTTGTTTTTCAATGATATTCTAAAAAGACAAACAAAAATTCTCATATATGAAATCAAAATGGATATTTGATAATTTTTTAGAATTCAGAACAATATTCTTTACAATTTAAAGTTCAAAAGAAAAAAAAGTTCACCAATATCAATATACCTCTTAATGTAATTATTGCACTTTTAGATGATAAACTTCAAAGCAAACCAACATAACCCTTATTTTACAAATTAAATAAGTTTGAATTGCATCCCATACCACTCATCTAGTAGGTGTTTAGCATGGATGTCCAAAATGATGTCACATCAACTCTACATAAAAAATTTGATTTTTGAAAAAGCATTGGTGTTTGGTTAGCCGTTGTTCCAAAAAATGTTTTTTCAAACTACACCTTAGAAATCGGGAAAGGTGTGATCGCTCTTTTTGATGTTTTTCTATTTTTTCTATTATTGCTGATATGGTATTAAAAAACACCTATATAACAACAAAATCAATGGAAACAAATAGAAAATCTAACAAAACATTTTCTAAGCTCATGAAACATGCCTCTGAAAAAACGGCATTGAATCGAAACACCGCCCTAAAATCTGTGTGGGGGCGCATGATGATATATGAGGCGACATAAAAGCACAGGAGAATTTGAAACTGAAAGGTGCATCAAGTGTCGTCACTTGCATCTAAAGGTGACGGTGACGGTGACGGTGACGGTCTCTTAGGATCCCAAAAATAAGTAAATGTTATCCCACCAAAATGGTGTAACCCCAATGAGGAAGGAAAAACGTGAGACGTAACTGAGAAAAGTTATCGGGATTTGTTAGGCCTGAACTCGAGAGTCTCCTTCTTCCTTCAGCTAAGCATTCCAACGGTCGTATCTCGGCGACTTCTTTGATGATATCAAGCAAAGGTAAGACCAGATCTACACTCCTCTTGCTTTGGCGAGCCATTTCCTATATTTTCGTGTATATTTTGGTGGATAAGAATGTTTTTACCATAGTTGCGCTAGTCTCTGCAATGACTGATCCCATTTGATGTTCTTCATTATTTTTGGCAAGGAGAAGCTCCATTCTCCTTGTGTAGGCGAGATTTGTTAGGAGATTTGGTAGGACAGTCTGTTTTTGCGAGCAAAGGAGAAGCTCCATTTCATCTTCTTCAGGACATGCACAAGTACAAGGGTTTTCTCTGAGATTCATGTTATAGTGCTGTGACGAAAGGGTTTTTTTGTTTCTTATTATTTTGATGTGATGCTATTTGTTAGGTACAAGGGTTTTCTCTGAGTTTTTTTTTTCGTTATTCGATCATCAAATCACTGCTGGTTTGATCGATTTACAGTGGTGTGCATTTTTTTTCCATTGTGACTTCCAACGAGACTGCTTATTCTTTTGGTTCGATTTCAAAACCCTTCTCTACCATGATCAAAGAAGACGATGCGGCTATTACAAAAAAAAAAAAAAAGAGGGAACCGATTGGTTCTTCTGAAGGGATAACTTCATTCCTTGATTTACTGTAGATTTATCTAGGGTTAGAAGAGGGAACCGAATGGGTCGATTTATCTGGGGTTAGAAGAGGGAACCAAATGGGTAGATTTATCTGTGTATATGTTTTTAATTTTTTGTCAGAATATAACCCCTGTTTTTAATTTTTGTCACACCTAGAATCTGAGTATCTAACTAAGATTGTAGTTCTCTCTCTGTAGTTCTCTATGCAGTTCCAATAGGGTTAGAAGACTCCCTTACAGCTGAAATTTTTGTTGTTCTAGTCTAAAGCTAGCTAAACATCCTAATTTAAGGTAGATGGAAGTCGAAGGTGACTCTATGTTGGTGACTCTAAAGCTAGCTAAACATCTAACTAAGATTTATCTACAGTGATGACTGGTTGAGGATGGGGCCGACTCATTGGGTGCTAGTAGTTGTGTTTCTTAAAAATGCC